CTGATCCATGGTTTATGGCATCCACTGGCGGTCTTGGCGTGTATCTCCCCTGGATAAGGGGGCACTTCTGTAGTTGGAATCATGCAGTGTGATGACACAGCCTTTTCAGATGAACTTCTTTCACTTAGCAGTATGCATTTAAGGTTTTTTATGCCTTTTCATGGCTTGATAACTCATTTGCTTTTTATCAATGAACAATATTCCATTGTCTGGATGCCAGTTTGTGTCTCCATTCACCTATTGAAGGACTTCCATGTTTTGGCAATTATAAGGAGTAAAGCTGCTGTAAACATTTGTGTGCAAGTTTTTTGAGTGGACATAGGTTTTCAACTTACTTGGGTATATAGCAAGAAGCATGATTGCTAAATCCTATGGTAAGAGTGTGTTTTGTTTTGGAAGAAACCACCAAACTATCTTCCAAAGGGGCTGTACCATTTTGCGTTCCCACCACCAATGAGAGAGAGAGTTCTGTTTCTCCACATCCTTACCAGTATTTGGTGTTGTCAGTACTCTGGACTTCAGCTGTTCTGATAGGTGTGTGGTGGTATCTTATTGTTTTAATCTGCATTTCTCTAATGACGTGATCTGGAGCATCTTTTCATATGCTTAATTGCTATCTGTATATCTTCTTTGGTAAAATGTCAGCTCAGATATTTTGCCCATTTTTAAATTGGGTTATTTTCTTATTATTGAGTTTTGAAAGTTCTTTATCAGATGTATGCTTTGCAAACATTTTCTCCTAGTCTCTGGCTTATCTCCTTAGTGACATGAATCAATTTGGAAAATTTTAAAATTAAAATAGAGAAAAATTTAAACAGTTAAGAATAAAACTTATTTAAATGCTTGAGGAGGTACCATTCTTAGGACGTTTTTTTTTTTTCTCTTTTAATTTTTATTTTAAAATTGTGGGGTAGGACATTTTCTTTAAAACCTTCCCAATTGTTGGTCTGTAATATCCCCCATTTACTCTATCAAAACAGAAGTGCAATTTACTAATGGAAATTTCAGGATCAGGACAGGTCACTTTTGATTTGTTATTTTAGGAAAGTAAAATGCACTTTTCTGGATGATATCTTAGTGAACCGTATACATGAACTGTGAATGCTGTTGAGTCAGAGATGACTTAACAACTCACGACTGAGTGAGACTCCAACTCAAAAAAAAAAAAAGGAACTACAACAATACTAAAAATGGAAACTTGGTCTTCTCTGATTAAACAAGTTATCCACTAGTTTTGAATACCTCTATCAATTTTTAAATTTGATAATTATTTACATATCAAGAGAAACTAGTTCTTAGCCCTCATAGCATGTTTCATAGTTCAGGAACACAGGTCAGTGACAAGCATCTATGTAATTCAACCCAAAGAAATTCTTTACATTCCAAAATCACTTTGCATTCTGAAAGACATCAACCTTCCTCATTTCCTCAAAATATTTCATGGAATCATAATTTCTGTGAAAATTGCATATGCCTTCTTCCTTGGATCAGCCATAACAAATTTATAGAATGCAGCAACCCCCAGAGATAACAACAAATGCTCCAACAATATGAAACCACAGACGTGTGGCCAAAAGGTCATGCAGCTGAGGTTTTATCAAAACACTAGAAACCATGGTAGTCTTTGTTCTTGACAGATATGTCAAACTCAATGCCAAAGTCCTTCCTTGATGATGGAGAAATGGATGGCCCCTCTGTCAAATTCTTAAAATTGACTCAATACTTGGCTCCTAGTGGATATAGATAACCACACCCAGTGACAGTAAGGTACCTAGATTTGATCACTTAATGAACAGTGTATCTTTGGGAACCATAACAACATAATTTCTCTAAAATCTCCAGTCTGATTGTTAAGCTTTAGTCATATGCTAAATGTTACTTCCTGCAGATGCATGCAGATGTCAACAAGTAGAAATAGTTGACTTGAAAAGTTGAATAATGTGCTAGAAAAAAATCATCTGAGTTAGAAGAACCCAGAATTTTTTAGAGTTAGGAGAGATTGCAGAGGTTATCCAGTCCAAGGTAAGAAAATAGGTTTCATTTCATGTCCCAGCTTCATCCATTGGCAGCATCTTTTTCTTCATGATGTCTGGAAGGATACTGAAGCCTCAACTGGACACCAAAGGAAAGAGTGCTTTAATCCATTGGTAGTTTTCCATAAGCAAAGGGAGACCAAGTTACATCCTCAAACCCATAATTGCCTTTCTCTGTAGAGTCTTACATCCTTACTCTAGGATGAAAAAATGGAGGCCCAGATAACTTAAAAGGCATTTTCCGGGTCTCCCAGCTAGCCTGGTGGCTGTGCTTATATTTAACAGGTAGGAATCTCATGTTTCTTTTTTTTTAAGATTAAAAAATATCATTTATTTAAAAGTAAATTAGAGAGAGAAAGAGAAGGGAGAGAGAAGATTCACCTCTCCAAGGTCACCACCACCAGGAAGAATGGTGACAGCCATAGCTCAAAGAGCACATTGTCACACCAGAGTCTAGCAAGGCAATAGCCCATGGCTGCTTGTGGTTGAGTTCTTTTATCCATTCCCCTTGATGGGGGAAGATCATTATTAAGGTGATTGGGTGATGGTCTGCTCCACATCATCACAAAGGATCAGGCAAGTGCGGGTACTGATGTCACAGGTGACAGCAGTGATGGACAGCAGGCAGGCGGGTTTATGTTTCTATTCTATAGTATAACTGATTCCAAACAATTGGCTCTTAGAACCAGAAAAAAAAATCTTATATGAAGCTCTATGTTATTGTTTTTAAAATGTGTGTTTAAAATATTAGTAAGAAAATACCTGGCCGATTCGGGAGAAAAATAGAAGTTATTAATAGAAATCAAACTGAGAACACAGAAAAGTGAGAGCCCGTCGTTAGCATAACAGTTCATGCTTGAGCTTATCCATGCTGCATGTTAGGCAAAAGGAGGAAGACAGTAGCCAGAGGATGGTTAATTGATACAATGACCAGGGCAGCCTGTAGCATATTCAGAACCGACTACTCCATTGTAAGCTGGCTGTGATCTGTTGGGTCAGAAGACATAGGAGACGTGGAGTCAAGTGAAACCATGTGGAGGAAAAGGGTTTTTGTGTTTGCTTTTGTTTTAGATTTTTTTGTTGTTGTTTACTAGTTGAGAAAGTGTCTGGCCACACTGATTTGTATTTTTGTGTGGGTATGTAAATAATGTGGTCTAGCTAAAGCAGTGAGGTAATAAGCTGAGGTAATTGATACCTACAGAAAGAGTATGTCTATTATAAAGCTGCTTATTGGCGCCACCAGAAGTTGAATATGTGCCCTTACAGAAAATATGCATGACAATCTGCCCTACCTGAGTTAGACTGCCATTTGTCAGCCACCAGGCTATCATAGTAGCTGACATTTATGGAATGCTTGATATGTGCCACCAATGGACCAATTTGAAGATGGACATTTATTTTAATGTCAGCCATTCCAAAGAATTGAGTAGTGTCATACTCATTTTGTATAGGGAAAAAACGGGTTCACATAACTGCAAGGGGCATCCTGAAGATTCAAACCTAGATTTCACTGATTCTAAAGCCACTGCCCACAGTTATTAGATAACACTACCACTCTGAACTACCTTGAACCTCTGCCCTTACCTGTCAGCTGGAGATAATACCAACAGAAGCATCAGAAGATACCAATTTTTTGGCAAAAACTCCATGATTTGTTAAGCATTATATGGAAATAATATGCTGTTATTTGGAAATAAAAGATTTAAACCAGTAAGCAGGCATCTCACTGTAATATTTATCTGCAGCCAGTGAGCAATGTTATTATGTAGTTTTCTTAACAAGTAATTTATTTTCATACTTTATGGAACTGTTTTTTCCAAATACATCATTGATTATTTAGCTGGTTACAATTTAGGATTTACTTTTCTGTCACAAATTTACCTTTTTTCCTAAATAGTCATGCTTGAGGGGACTGAGTAATTGCTTTCAATATAATTATGGCTGCATAGTAACACACCACTTACAGGTCTTTTGAATGCTTATTATTTTGGCATGGACATAATTTATCAATTTTCATATTTCTCATTGTTATTACATTAAATCTTAAAGACAAATATACTCAATGTATTAGATGTAAAATGTTAGTACCACACAAGCAAAAAGTAGTTTAGCTTATTTGTTTCTTGTCTATTCACCACAGACTCCAGGCTGTTTAAAGACCCTTGAAGGATTAAATAGAAAAATTATACAATGTATCACAATACATTAAGCCGATGAATTTTTTCCTCAAGTGACTGCCTTTTTCCTTTCTCCAGATGCCTGCTTGGTGGTCAAACATATAGCACATAAATCTTGTATTTATGCATGATAACTAAAATCTTCTTTAAATTTAATATTTTGTAATGCTTAATAAGGATTTGCTCTAAAATAAAGAAAAAATTAAACACTGTAATACAAAACTGAAATTTGTGACCCTCAAACCCCCAAAATAGCAATAAAATTAATGAAGTTATTTTAACAGATTTGAGAAAGTGATCCTTAGAATTCCTAAGTAAGAAATGGGAATATAAAGTTTTAAGCGAGAGTCTGCCTAAGACAAAGAACGGAGTTAATTCTTCTCAGGCCCAGAATGTTTTAATATGGAGAACTGAGTTAGGGTGCTCTGAAACACAGCTTTTGTTGGTCTTCTATACTTTCATTCACTGTTAGGACTTTTATATGTTACAAAATATTAGAGGCTTTCAAACATAACATTATTTTCCCCAGCTGCTTCTATTTAGAAATCATCCACTGGTCACCTATATGTACTCAATGGCACTGTTGATATTTTGGGTTTTTTTATTTGTAGGGGTAGGCTTTTATAGGTTGAGGTCCACTTTTTTGAGCCATTTTTCCAGTTAAACGAGAGATGGCAAAGTGAACTCACTGAAATTGCAGCAGCAATGTTTTAAATTTTACTGTTTTGTTTGTGGCAACTGGGAGAGCCTTTTTGTGTGTTGACTTGTTATTCTGTTCTGTTTTCTGTAGAAACGCTCCAGAGGGCAAGTGCTGTTTGATAAAGTGTGTGAACACTTGAACTTGCTAGAAAAAGACTACTTTGGGCTTACGTATCGGGATACTGAAAACCAGAAGGTGAGAGAGCAAAAGCAATACAAAATATAATGGCTTGAACGGCCATTATATGGAAAGTGAACTAAAGCCAAATGGGTGGATCGATTTCTGCAACTCCCTTCATACTCTGGCATTCACTAACCTGAGTCCCTAAATGCTGTTAATCTCCTATTTCTTCAGTGAAGAAAATCACTGACAACTTTTTAAAATCTAGAATTTTTTGATAACGTACTTAAGTAGGGTTAAGCCAATAAAAATCAAATACTTTGATACATATCTAAAAATCAAGATCATACCCCCAACTTCTAATGAAGATATTATGGTTGTAGCATAAACTGTCAGGACAGTTGACTATTATAAACTGTTCTTAATCAACTTATTATGCTTTCATATTGTCACCGAATCAGAATATGAGATAGGTCACTTGCTGACCTGACACTTGTCTAATGCATTTAGTAGATGTTTTATGTTTAATGCAATACCTCTATAGACCTTTATACATAAATAACGCCGTCTGTTCAGGTCTGTGCCTCACTTATCCCCACAACTACCTGAGAAGTACGGAAGAGGAAATTGTCTCCATTATATCGATCCTGGAAGTTGTGCCGTATAAATTTTGCTCAGGGATGTTACCTGTTCTAGTGTTGTGCCATGAATCATTCTTAATATCTATTGAATTCACTGGACAATGTCTGACTTCATTATTAAACATCTGATTTTTTTATAGGGAAAATCACAATTGCAAGCAAGTGTTTATTTGCTAGGGAAATATTCTAGGTAGATGCCTAAAAATCTGTCATCATAGGAGTCACTAATGTGGAACTGAAGGACTAGAATATCAGTGTGTCAGGTTATGCATATTTTTCACTTATCCTAGTAACTTGTTTGACCATAGTATCTTCCACCATTTACCCACTCTGTTTCTTGCTAGCTTGAATCCCTGAAGGCAGTAGTTGTGAAAGGAAAATAATTTTGTCAAGCCCAAACTGCATGTATTCATTTTCTCATTAGTCTAGTGTCTGGGCCCTCAGAGGGCCTGATGGACAGGCACCAGGTGTGGGGAAAGAGCAACAGTGAAGGGAGCATTCCCACAACTACTAATTCTCTACCATATTTAGAGCATGTCTGTATCTAGTCAACATCAATCATGTTTATTCCTCTCTGATTCAAATTCAAAATGTCATTTCCTTTTCAGAATTGGTTGGACCCTGCTAAAGAAATAAAAAAACAGGTTCGAAGTAAGTTATTTTGGATTATTTTATGTGGTAATGTGGAGACTTTTAGAGAGTGAGGTTGTCTGAATTGGTAGCCCATTCTTAGCTACCCAAGTGGCTAGTGTGAATACAAAGTTGTTTTTTTTTTAATCCCAAATTCAATCTGCCAAATTGGTTTAGTTCAGCCAGCACCCATTTTTTTTAAACTGTCACTACTTAAAATAACTAAGATGCTTAACTTATTCCCCTGCCTGTGAAATATAAGACTGAATCAATTGGTGTTCCTATTGGCAATTAGCCATTTAAAAGTTCTCAATTGAATTATTAGTGCTATATAAGCCTAACAATCACAAAAGTATAAAAGGCAAACAAGTAATAGTCCTTTGATAGTTTTGAAAGACTAAAGTTTATTGTCTGGTGATAACCTCTTTTCTTGGTCCCTGAAGACAATTTGAGAAATATATTTTTTTTAATGAACAAAACAATTGGATGTGCAACTCTCAAAACTGAAATACAAGTAGCTAGTAAGTATTAAACAGGCTGCTAAATCCTACTAATGATTAAATGCAAATTAAAATGAGGCATCCTTTTTTATCTATTAAGATTAGCAAATAAATCAAAGTTTAATAATAAACTATGATAGTTATTTACCCAGTTGGTAGAATAAGCAGATGCAACCCTTTGAGAGAGCAATTTGTCAGTTATTAAAATTTAGGATGCACTTACCCTTTGATCTTTAATTTTACTAAGAGAAATTTATTCAGCATATGTATTAGAGAGAAAAATGTGCAAGTGTGTAAGCACATGAGAGTTCATTATAATACCATTTACAACAGAAAACTAGAAGCAACTTAAATATCCATTTATAAAGAGATTATTAAACCAATCATAAAATAGCCATATAAGTATATCTTAGCTCTCTTTGAAGTCAGAGTGCAGAACAATGTCTATAATCTAATCTCATTTATTTTAAAAATGTTATATGTATATAGATGCATGGAAAACTTTTGGAAGGCATGAAAGATATTAACAGTAATTATTCCAGAAGCAACATGTAGTGTAGGGAGTTAAGAAAGACAAATCTTTTAACATTTACTTTTTTTTTTTTTTTTTGAGTTGGAGTCTCACTCT